CCCCCCCGCCTCCCCTTCCCCCCCCCCCCCCCGCCTCCCCTTTCCCCCCCCCCCCCCCCGCCTCCCCTTCCCCCCCCCCCGCCTCCCCACCCGCCCCCCCCCCCCCTCCTCGCTACGCTACTGCAGTGTCACTTATCGTCACAAAAACAGAGCCCACATTCAAAAATATGTGTCTTATCTTTTAAAAACACCGAAAACACCGATTTCGGACTATCCCTTCATATACTGACGTCACATGTGACCTACTCAACTCTACTTCACCTGCCCAGTGTCCCGCCAAGTCTCAGACAACATGTTTTTATCGTTTAAAAAACGATTCCAGCCGAGCATGTCTCTGACCACACTATCCTTTCATATGGTTAGGACAAAGAAACAGATGAACTCTACTTCACCTGCCCTGTATCCTGCCAAGTTCAGATCATTATCATTTTTTATCATTAACATCTAAAAAAAAAAAAATTGAAAAAAAATATCATTGACATATTGGTCTAGAACCTGTGCCACCCACATGAGAGCGGGCTACGCTACCAACTTAGCTATTTACTCGTGACGTCACAAATGAATTTTTATACTATACTTTAGAGTCTCCGCGCATAGATCTAGTAGTAGTAACTTTCAAATTAAATTTAATCTTAAATTAGCCAAACAAAGATTTATATAAAATAATTAAGGCCTGAAATAGATTCTAGATGTATTAAGGCCTGAAATAGATTCTAGATGTAGAATTTACATTAAGTCTAGATCTAGAATTTACACTGAGTCTAGTAGTGACCTAGAATCTAGATCTAGATCTAGGCTAGATCTAGGCTAGATTCATAACTTCCCTTCGACAGCTGATCTTTAGATCTAGAGAAATTTATCGTAAAACTAAATGAAAAAGACAGTTGAAAATTGATATAAGTGTTGGAACGTAATAAATACAGCAAAAGGACGTATTGTTTAAGTTATAGCCGGCAGAAAATTAGCTTTGTAACGCGTTAAACTTTTGAATGGGCCACAAAGTCTATGATGGGGTCCGCCATTTTTATTGTACCAAAAATGTAAACACATCAAGGGACGTCACTATCCCCACAAAGTTTATTCAAAGTATTAACATTTTTAAAAAAATACGGTTAATTTAACTATGAATAAATCAATAAATTAATTAACGTCTTTAAATAAATTTGTGATCAACAGTCTGTCTGCATTAAAAAATTATTCTCTACCTGCATACTATTTTACAGCTTTCCAGATAGAGTCGAACATATCACAATAGTCGATCAGGCAAACAAATAAATATTCAAACATGTAAACAAAGTTGAGTTTTAGTAGTATATAGATAGATAGATTGTATGTTTCCAGTGTTTCTTCCAGACTTTTTTACTTTTTTCCGAGGGGGGGGGGGGCGGACACTGTTAGAAGTATATATTTTTATATAAATTCCATTTCGGGCGAGGGGGGGGGGGGTCTGTGTGTTGTCGTTCTCCCCCCCCCCCCCCCCCCCCCCCCCCCCCCCATACGAGATGATATGTATGGTTCTAGGATTGGATTCTTAAATGTTATTGTGTGGTTCTAGGATTTGGGTCAGTTTTTGGTCAATTGGTGGGCTATTTAAAACATTGTTTATTAAATTAATAATGTGGATTATTATGAGGTTGTGACGAGCTGTAAGCTGATAGTTTGCTAGCATTCAACTGGTAGCATTCAACCGGTACCAAATCTTTCGGGAAAATCTTATCTCGTGACCAGATACATCATATATAATATACCGTCCTATAATGTTTCTCTTAACAAAAACTTGCTCCAGCCGACGGAGCCCCATCTCCACCTTTGTCTATTCAGGTCAGCGCAGGTAACGGGAAAATACCAACAAACACTGTGTAGGTTAATTATGGAAGACGATTTATGCGCCAACATTCGTATTTTATTTATACCAGCCAATGTGGAGCGACCTGAGACACGTCACTAGCTGATGTAATGAAGGTTCAATAGGTTAAAGGTCGAGTTCAAGACCATTTCAAAACAGAACATTTGTTTACTTGAATTTATCTATGATTTTCATTTCTATAACGTACATGTTTTCAATCTCTGTATATTGAATCAGTATGGGTAACAGCCCTACCCCCGTGGGTAGCTTCAGATAGTAGGTTATGAGTCACACGATTTTACCATAGACGACAGCCCCACCCTTACAGTACATAAGGTAGAAATGAAGTACTGATGTTGGCTTTAGAATGTGAAGAGTTGAAGGGTTCGAATCTTGAGCACGGAGTACGTGTCGTGTTGTCGTTCGTCTGTTTACCAGTAGGTTTTAGCCACTATTTTTCGGGGGTACGTTGTGACGGAGAAGTGTTGGTGTCTACTCACACATAATGATTGGTCGACTGTCATGAAGGTTGCGCTAATCTACAGTCATTTAGGTTCAGTCATATTGATCGCTAGTTCAGTCATATAAGTCGCTAGAACTCAGTCACATAGATTCTTTGTCGCTTGTCCAGTCTGATATTTCGCTTTTTTGTTGAGAAATTAATATAACCTTTTTGTATAGCCGTCTGCTAGCTGAAGTAGTGTCGTTTTTGTTTATGTGAACGGGCTAGAGCAGCACGATTATCTTATCATACAGCACGCACACTTACACCCAGCTGTCCAGTTCGTGGTCAGGAAAAGTTTGCTCCATGTTTTTTGTTTACTTTTGTTTCAAACGTCCAGGTCATCCACTGGTCACGTGGTAGGCTCGTGCACCGTCTGTACTGTGATTGGATTATCTGAGACAGATGACCAATCGCAGGGCGTCAACTGTTTGAGCTGTTCACGAGAACATTTCTCCTTACTCTTAATTAAAGCCTATATAACAAGTTAATAGCCGAATCCATGTTTTGGAATAAATTGTAGGGAAAAAAAAATTACCCATTGGCGTCGCTAGTTTGGGGGTTAATTAGCAATATTGCATTTCAACTGTTTAACCCTTTCTTGCTTAAAGTGGTATCGAGAACTGACCGAGAAAAATTCCCATTGGTATTATTTAAAATTGAATTTAAAAAAAAGTATCAAATATTTTATACCTACTGTATTGTAGATGTTATTCCAATAGCCTGCGGTGGAGTTAGCTCCCATGGGTTTAGGCATATATATGACAGAATAAATCCTCTTGTTCTTATGATGGATTAGCATGCCTGTTCAGCCGTTTCCTGTAAAAATTAATTATAGAGTTATCCCAAGTTTGTATTGTTTATGTTGGCCAACTGCTTCACTTGAACCCAATCCAAATTAAACAGTTAGCAAGATAATGACAATCTGAAGCGGTAATATTATCTTAACATGTATTTTCCAGTAAAGCCATCCATGGGGGGGGGGGGGGGAAGCTGTAAGCTCATGGTGGGGGGGGGGGTTATAACATGTCCAGTCATTAAGATCAGGGGGGGGGTTATAACATATACATTAATTAAGCTCAGGGGTTTATAACATGTCCATTCATTAAGCTCAAGGGTTTTACATGTCAAGTTATTAAGCTCAGCGGGTTATAGCATGTCAACTCATTAAGCTCAAGGGTTTTACATGTCAAGTTATTAAGCTCAGCGGGTTATAGCATGTCAACTCATTAAGCTCAAGGGTTTTACATGTCAAGTTATTAAGCTCAGTGGGTTATAACATGTCCAGCTCACCTCTGATGCTTGCACAACATTGGTTGACTATTTATAGAACCTGACCTACACAATTGAAATGGAGCCAACACTTAAATCTGATGTTTGATTATAGTTTTATTTTAGACAACATCTGCTGTTTACAAGGGATAGAGTTAATGTGTAGCATTTGTGAAAGTGCATAGCTAGACATATTGTCACCTCAGACTGAAAGCCAAAGTCTTACACACTTATTAATGTGTGAATGTGCATAGCTAGACATATTGTCACCTCAGACTGAATATCAGTCTTACACACTTATTAATGTGTGAATGTGCATAGCTAGACATATTTTCACCTCAGACTGAATATCAGTCTTACACACTTATTAATGTGTGAATGTGCATAGCTAGACATATTGTCACCTCAGACTGAAAGCCAAAGTCTTACACACTTATTAATGTGTGAATGTGCATAGCTAGACATATTGTCACCTCAGACTGAATATCAGTCTTACACACTTATTAATGTGTGAATGTGCATAGCTAGACATATTTTCACCTCAGACTGAATATCAGTCTTACACACTTATTAATGTGTGAATGTGCATAGCTAGACATATTGTCACCTCAGACTGAATATCAGTCTTACACACTTATTAATGTGTGAATGTGCATAGCTAGACATATTTTCACCTCAGACTGAATATCAGTCTTACACACTTATTAATGTGTGAATGTGCATAGCTAGACATATTTTCACCTCAGACTGAATATCAGTCTTACACACTTATTAATGTGTGAATGTGCATAGCTAGACATATTGTCACCTCAGACTGAAAGCCAAAGTCTTACACACTTATTAATGTGTGAATGTGCATAGCTAGACATATTGTCACCTCAGACTGAATATCAGTCTTACACACTTATTAATGTGTGAATGTGCATAGCTAGACATATTTTCACCTCAGACTGAATATCAGTCTTACACACTTATTAATGTGTGAATGTGCATAGCTAGACATATTGTCACCTCTGAAAGCCAAAGTCTTACACACTTATTGTGTGGCATTTACAAAGGCCTTACACACCTTACTTATTGATAAACAACAGTTACAAACAAAAGCCTAACAACATGTTAATTTGTATTTAAAAACTCCTCCAAGGTATGAATTTTATTACTGTTAATGGAAAAAAATAGAAAGAGCATTTTAGGATATTGGGATAACTTATTATGCCTCTGATCAAAGAAGCTGCACATATTTCTCCGTGTAGACCCACCTCTTTATTTTTAGAGAATTTATTTTTCAAAAGCATTCTCTTATTTGTTTTCTAATCTTAACTAAACTCCTTAACCACAACTGATTCATATTGTTTTAAACAGGATTTTCCTTTGTTTTAGATTCCTGGGTTGAGCTCCATTACGCCCAGCAGCAGTCCACACAAGGGTACAGCAATATGAACCCAGAAGTCTGCTATGGATCTAGCATGGAGAAGCTGTTGATAGATGCACAAAGAGAATCTCGAACCCCATCAAGGCCAAATAGTAAAGAAAACTCTTATAGGGGGAGGTAAGTCTAATTGTTAAATAATTACTTGTTTGTTTATTATCTGTAAAAAAACCAATTACTTTTAATTCCAACTTTTCTTTAAAACATTGTGCATATTAACTTTATAAAGACATACACCATTTTACAGTAGTAAAAATTCTACACGTATAAAAGGACAAGGTTGTATTAAATTATATATAAATCTGACATAAATTTTTACTCAACTTTGTATGGGAAAATCATAAGTAGGACAATTGAGTTATTTGTTGTCAATAAATGAGTATATGGATAAAATAAATTATAGAACTGTTATTATAAAAAACAAAGCAGTACCAAAAAATGCCACCATTGAATTTTCTTTTATTTATTTTTATCTTCAGCCCAAAAAGCCCAGCAAGCCCAAACACAGAGTGGTCAAGTGAAGAGTGGAGAACAAAACAGGTTGGTCCATTGTTACTTAATGGGTTGGTCTGTAGTTAATTAATGGGTTGGTCTGTAGTCACTTGACAGGTTGGTCTGTAGTTACTTAATGGGTTGGTCCATAGTTACTTGATAGGTAGGTCCATTGTTACTTAATAGGTAGGTCCATTGTTACTTAATGGGTTGGTTCATAGTTACTTGACAGGTTGGTTTATAACTGCTCAATCTTTTAAAATAAATTTGAGTTGTTGGTTTAATTAATAAGTTTATAGGTTGGTCACAATGCATTAAAAAATTAGCAAGAATTTTTTTTAATAAACTTAAAATTGCATCTAGTACGGAAAGGTCCATGTTATTGATTCACATTTTACAATTTTTAAAAATGTGCTAATGTAAGTAATTTAAAACATAAAATTAATGAATTTATTGAGGTAATTTTTTGTATCTAAAGGATCCTGGAACTGATTGGATATGGGACTGGTCAAGTCGTCCAGAACTTCAGCAGTCTTTGTGAGCTATTTTCGTAAAATTTGAACTTTTGAATATACTTTACATTATTTAATCAATAAAACGTCTTAAAAGTAAATAGTCCAAAATTTAAAAAATACTATTCACTAGTCTCGAATGTTTTTTCATTTATTTAAATTATTTTTTTTTTAAATCTAAAGGAATGTGAGTATTACATTATTTATTTTTAAACAATCAGCAAATTAAAAACTTGAACCATTCCCTCCATGTACAGTGAGACTATGAGTGAAAAGTTCCGTCACCCTGGCAGCAAATATAGCAGGACTCCCCTGAGTGTACGCAACACACAAGTCATGAAGAAGACGAGAATTTTTTCCTGGGCTAATTTACCAACCTTGATTCTTACACACGCTTGCACATTCTTTTTGGGGGCTGCAGCGTATGTCGACTTTTAGATTTTTAAACATATGATCATATTTCCATGATAAAATTCGTGTTGAAAATCAATTTTCCAATTAGGCTTTAATTTTAGAAAATAAGTTCTTGAGTAATAACAAACATTCTTGCCCATTGTAAATTAAAATTAATGTTTGAAATAAAATTAAATTTTTCTTTCTTTTTCAGAGTCTTTATTTACTTCAAAAAATACTGCAACTTTGCTTCCATTGCCCAAGTAGCCCTTGATTGATAACAACCATTGGATATTGGCCCTGTGGTAAAGGTCGCCACACATATTTTTATATGTATTGAAATGTCCCTTGTGTCATGGACTGATATTAAAATGGTTGAAGTATTGAAGTATTACAAATGTACAATTTGATGCCTCTAGCATAAGCATATCAGTATGCTGAGGCTAGAGAAATTAACTTTAAAAGAAAAAGAATTCACCTTTAAAAGCTGCACTTAATGATTATTCTAATTTATATATGACTAGAAGTTATCACTGTTAACCTTTCTGTTATAATTCTGATTTTAGTGTATGTTCAATCCAATTGCATTAAAGACATTTTTTGTATACATTTTGTGAAGCTTTTAAATTTGAATCTTCTCTAATTTTTCGTTCGGTAAAAAAAAACACATTACCACTGTACATATATTTTTGTGCCGACAAAATCATGTACATTAAAAATTTTCCCCCATGCATATAAAATGCATATTTCAATATTTTTGAAACAAATTTGTTACCAGAAATGTTCACCATGTTTTTGCCAGTTTGTACATTTAAGAGACTTTTCACTTTGTGAATTTTTTTTTTAGTCATGCATTAATCCAAAATTCAAAGATCCTGAGAAAAAACCTATAATTGTGTATACACACGTGTCCATCATTACAAATAAAAGTACTACGTTTGGGTTGTCCATAAATGATGCAATGCCATTTTACCAGCCTCACCTTTATAAAATGACCTGTATCCACCCCAAAAACCATGAATCTAACAAAAAATAAACTTACATTATTTTTACCCTAATATATGCTGTCAAGTTTTTAAAAGCCATTCCTACATAGTACATCATCACTTAGGTCTAAACCCTGTTTAATTTATGGATGACCCCAACAGATTATTGGCCATTGTCCTTTTATTTCAAATAGTAATAATACATAATTTCAGAACATCAAATGTAAAAAGCAATAGAAATGGTTTACATGTAGCAGGTTGTTTAAATATTTTTTTTTAATGGAAAACATAGTTTATATATCTATGGTTCTTTATTCAAATTATAAAATTCATTTTTGTGTTATTTATTTCAGAAGTTATGTTTTTATTCTGCCATTTTCTTATGGACATTCAAGGCATTTAATTTACCATTTTTGGGTAACACATTATTTGGATTTCACTGTTAAGTAAATAAAAAAATTCTGTAAATATATAAATCGAGAACAGTAATTTATATATAAATATATTATATAAATATAATACTTTTTTAATTTATGAAAAATAAATTTTATGTTATTTATAAACATCAAAGTAAAAAGTATTTCAGTTGAATTTAACCCCAATAAATTTACATTAAATTACTAAAACAACCTAAGTTTTCAAAAATTTTGGGATTACAATTCTGCTTGAAATCCATCTTTACATAGGGCAATGCACTGATGTTTTAATTTTTAAGTTACTTGTTGCTCCCTTCACATGTACACAACATTGACATTATCACAGCTTATTATTTTTCAAATAACATACCAAAGTACTGCAGTGTTGATTTGCTAATCAGTTCTGACTCATTCAATTAATTAACAAGTATATCTATTCGTCAAAGTCTAATATTGAATAGAAAATAATCTTAATATAATTTCATCTGTAATATTTTATAGGTATTTCTTTTTCAATCTAAAAATTTCGAATCACAATTGAAATTGAAATTCAACCTATGAATATTTTTGGAATTATATTACCCTTTTTACATTTGTGACTTTTGTTTGTTGTACAGCTTTATTTCAATAACTTCCTGTGGTCATCTTTGCTTCATTGAAGCTAACTGGGAAATGGTGCAAATTTCAATGTTCATTCACTATATACATGATTGTCAAGTTTTTCTTACTTTCAATTGTTGCAGTAAAATGTTAATACTTAATGTGATTTTCAAAATAAATAATTTTTGTTGATGTTTTAAGTAGGGATTAATGTTTTTCAATTTTTTTTTTAAGAAGAATGTTTTCATTCAACTCAATATATTTTAATTGTTTCCGAGGCTTATGTGTTTAATTAAGTGAAATAATTTATAAAAATGAACCAGCAGCATGTTTTAAAATAATTTACCTGGCTAAATAATTTTTGGTTGTTGTAGGTGGGTACATTTTTACTAGAATTATTTTAATATTTTCCAATTAGAAAAACAAACTGCCAGTGAAATGACAAATGGCTAGTCACTAAAATAATTGTCTTTAAAGTTTTGTCCGCTTATTTTTTTCTCTTTTACTAATAACTTATAAACTAAATAGTTTTTTAATATGGTTGGTTTTCTTAAACTTAAAGCATTGAAAATTTAGTCATTCAATTTTGTTTTTTTAATTCTATGTATGAGTAATACTTCTATTTTCTTAAAAAATCATGGAGTTAGTGATAAAAAAATAGTGAGGGTTGTCAGAGTAAAGGGTTTTTAATCACTTCCATCTGTTGTTGCCTACTGAGCTTTTGGATTCCACTGAAATCTGCCCAAGCTATGATACTAAGAAGTATCTTCATCTTGCACTCCATCCATTTTTAAATTCAAATACACTGTTTTAAAAGGAACTAAAGACATTAAAATTTCCGAGGAAGATACTGATTAACCTGTTTTTAAAGGGCTGTTGTAAAAAATACTATGTACACATGTATGTTATGTAATATACAACATGATCATTAATATGAATTTGAATTATTCTTGTACAATCGTATGCTTATTATCACTGATCAAATAATAAACATTTCATGTTTCAATAGCTTGTTACAAATTGTGTATGTTTTAAAAAAGAAAATGGTAATTATTACTGTTACTTGCTATTAGGGGTCATCCATTTATGATGTCCACACAAATCTCGGATTTTAGACCCCCCCCCCTCTCCTCGTCCACATGCGTCAACTTTTGATGACCCCCCCCCACTCTCCCAATGGACGTCCACAAAAATTTAGTAGATCTCGCATAACTTAATTCCAATTTACTATTGCAATAACATGTATTGTGTGCCTACGGCTTTAAACTTAATCTAGAGGTGTCTTTATTTAACACGAGCAATGTCGTTTTAATTTCACTTTTACCATGCAGGTTACGAGTTCTTGGTTTTTTTTTTAAAATGTTAGTACTTTGACACTAAGTTCAACATGTGGACGTTCGCATGGACTCGAACCACCCCCCCCCTCCAGTTCACACGCGTCCACAAAAGTTGATTTTTTTTCGGACCCCTCCCCCTTCATGTGGACGTCATAAATGGACGACCTCTTACTGACTATACATAACCAGTTTAAAAAATGGAAATTAAAAAAAGTATTATCCTCTTGACTATCCTAACTGATATATTATAAACTTCTACTGGATTCCGAAATCATATCATTTAGATAGAGTATAAAAATAGAACTCAAAACATGGTAGATAAAGACTGAAATTTTTTAAATGATTTTTTTCATAATTATTCTTGTTATTCATGTAAAAAAAAGGGTGGCAGCCAGCTTCTGCTAAATATCAATATTAATGGTACTGTAATTTCTTGTATCAGTCTTAACTTAGATCTAGATCTACTTGTTTTGGTATACTGTCATTGCCAGCTGAAGTTGCTCATTATCCTGGAAAGCTGAAACAGGGTTATAAAATCCAGCAATTGTCTAACCCGGTTACCAGCCACAAGACCCATGAGCTTCTATCAAGCTCTTTTAAAAATAAGCTTTTAATTAAATTAAATAATTTTATAAACAAATGATGTTGGTTTGTTTGTGGGTTTGTGGTATATCTTGTAACTAAAATTTGAGGCACTTCTAATGTAAAAAATTCCAGAAACATTCTTATACTAATACAACAGAAGAATATCTAATTTTTTACTTAATTGGATATTGAAAGTCATTAAAAATTATTTTTAAATTATCCCTTGAAGTGTGACTTTTGACGACCCTTGCCTTATCACAAATTATTTATCTTCTATAGCAGTCAGTAAATCGTAATATCTGATATATCAAATATATGAATTATGATATCCAAGTGCAAATAAAAAGCTATTCTTTTTACATTTAAAAAAACACCTTTGTCAATTGTTATAAAATTATTGACTGATTAATTAAAAGGTTAACTAATCTCAACTGATTTTATTGAAATTGCTGTTAAAAAAAAAAAAGAAAATCATTGTAATTGGGGGAAGGAGATAGGAGATTGAAGTAAAACTTCTGTTACATCATTTTTGTGTGTGACGATTCCGAGGAGGGAAGTAAACTTACTTAATTAAACTCAGTCCGTTAAGTAAGACAAGTTAAAAATATCTAAACTCCAAGTAAAGAGTCTAAAGCTTGGCATCATTTTTGGACGAACGCCCCCCCCCCCCCCCTTTTCCCAGAAATTAGATCCAGTTAAATATTTCCTGGCTTGTGCATTCTAATCATTCTAAGCTACGGTGCAATGTACCATGGCTTGCTTTTTATGCAATGATTATAATGGTATAATACATTGTCTTATTCATAATCACAAAGGATGACAATTCAATTCATTGGTTGCTAAGTAAACAGAGTATTTTAAAATCTATTTTTAACTTTGTCACGTGAATATAAGTTAGATCATGTGACAAACAAATACAAGCCAAGAGTTGTTTTTTTTTACTGTCAGCGAGAGCCTAGCTAGAATCCAATCACTAGTGTTCTGTTGCTGATTTTAAATACTCATTTTTACAGTGACATCTAAAACTTCTATAAATTAAATTATTTATATAATTATACTAGATCAGTAGGTAGAGATTGGGTTAGACTGTTAGATCTAAATCTAGACTAGTAGATAGAACTTGATAATAGATTTAGTAGAAAGAAAGAAGTTGTTTGAACTGCTTCTCTCACTCACAGACTTCAGTGAGAGTGTCTTTACGTCTCAGCCTCAGCCAGTTTCTTCACTCTCACATTCTTAATTAAATGTTTTAGTTTCACGTGCCCCCCCCCCCCCCCCACCACTCCCGAAAGAAACATTGCCTCCTCTGATTACTTTCATCTCCGTCCACTTCCTACCAACCTCTGCCAGCTGCCCCTACCAACCAGGGAAGTTTTAAGCTGCCCCCCCCCCCCTCGATTGCTAACCAGTGATGGAGATAAAAGGTGGATGGGCATGTTAGTGACCCCTTAATTAATCCCTTCATGTACTACCATAAAAAAAGATTGATTCTACTTCATCTCCACCCATAGGGTTGGGGGAGTTTATTAACTACAAAACACTGGAAACTCTTAGGCCTTAGGTATACAACATCATATCATGAAGTTGAATACCAAAATTGTAGTATACTTGGTGATAAGCCATTTGTTTATTTGGATTGTCTTGGATTATAACTCTTCACCAGTTTTATTAAATACCTTTGTGTTATTTTAGGGACAGCAGAGTCAAAAGGTAGATTAGGCTGCTAGCCTGAAAGTCTCGTTCGGATCTCTGTTCAAACTTGTGACTGTATGATGTCACTGACTTATGTTGGATAAAGTATGGCTGGCGGGGCATATTGCTGACCACACCATCCCTTCTAATTCTGTGATTAAGAAACAAATAAACGACTTCATATTCCCAATGGAATCTTTACTTTTGTGTTATTTTGTTTTACTTTTTATTCAAGTGCTAAAAGATTCTTTAAAAATATATCCACAGATTGTAAAAATAATTTATAACATGGCTATGACCCTTGCCCTTGTAACATGCCTATTTACCATTGTGCATGCTACAAATTATGCGGTAGATGACACAGTAGGAATCGCTCGTCAGTATGATGGTATTGGAGGACTTAGCGGTGGTTCAGTAAGCATCAAATTAAAATTGTACCATTCTGTTTTAAAGCTGCTAAGTTTAGTTAGCTTGTAGCTTTATATTAGCTTTCACTTGTGTTATTGTCTAATGCAAAATGTAAATATTAATTGATTTTCTTCTGTATGTAGGCCACATCCAAGCTACTGATCGGATATCCACAGAAACAGAGAGATGAAATCTTGGATTATCTCTTTAAAGTATAGCAATTTTTCATTAGGCTTATAGGTATAATGGCAAAGTGGTTTTTTAATCTTAACAATTTAAACAAGATTTAGAACTAGTTGTTAGCTAAAATTTAAGACTGTTTCTATTTTTATTCCAGCCTAATTTTGGAGCTTCTTTACAAATATTGAAGGTGGAAATTGGTGGGGATGCACAAGCTTCAGGTAATCCATTAATGGGTAGTTATGGTAGCAGTTTTTGTATTTCATGTCTAATTACTTATACATACAAATAAATACAAAAACTCAAATTAAAATAGGGGATTATGTTTACTGTAAGTTTAGTGTTAATTTAAAATTTAACCTACAATAAAATACATAAATTAAATAATAGACTGATATAAAACATCGAATACAGTGGAAAGAGGTTGTATAGTTAGGATTAATAGACCTCTTTAATATCAGTTCAAAGGAATAATACATTTTATACTTGATTCTATCAGTTGCCAATCTATATTAAACTAGGTAAAAATATTTACTATTGCTGATTATTCCAATACCATATTGTATATATTTTTTCTAGATGCAACTGAGGCATCACACATGCATGTTGAGTGGGAAGAGGATTATGAGAGAGGTTATGAATGGTGGTTAATGAAAGAAGCCAAACTGGTATGTCCAGAGTTCTGTTTTTTAAACATAAACATTGAATATAAAGTCCAGCTGTTTTCTTTAAAAAATTATGGGATTTAATATCGTGAGAGTTGTTACCAAGCAGTCATTGAAGCAATTTATTTACAATTTTGCAGCGCAATCCTAAGATTAAGCTGTATGGCCTTCCATGGGCTTTCCCAGGATGGCTGGGTAATGGCACTCAGAGTCCGTACATAGACAACTACAAATTAGCAGACTACATTTTCAAGTGGATTAGAGGAGCAGAGGTTTATCATGGCTTGTTCATTGATTTTATTGGGGTAAGTGATCTAACCATCTGTGACACTAGACTATTCTAAAGCACTGTCTAAACATGTGACAGTTTATCACAATATCCCGACCAGTTACAAGGTCTTCATGTGAACTTACAATAGTACTTCTCTTCCTCAACTATGGGAATTATTTCTTTACCTACATTTTTATTTAATAATCAACTGTTTAAAAAATGTTAAAGATGCATTGAAGCACCTTACATTATTTACCTCTGCATAGCAGCTAGATCTTGGCAGGAATATTCATCAAAATAGTTTATAAGTACAGACCTATGCAGACCTAGTTGAATAATATTTGTTAAGTAGTTACAGTTTTAATGTGTTTATGGGTAAAAATAAATTTACAGATATTGAATGTACAAAACATTTTATAAGTAAATCATGGTTTAGACACAAATGATAACTATTAAGTAGACTAGTTTAAAGTGTTAACTGATCACAATAAATCAACAGATTTGGAATGAACGATGGTGTGATACAGGATATGTGAAGGTAAACAATTGGTGCTGTTTGTGTTACTTTTTATTATCAAATTTATGCTAATACTTTATCATCTGTTATTTGATTGGTAAAATTAACTAATACTTATTAGTTGAGTTAAATATTTTCAAATATAATTTAAAACAAATTTAGTTTAAGGATTTTATTTTTAAATTTTCATATTTCCCTTCTGTTGGGACATTTTTTGTTTTCAGGTTTTACGTCAAACCCTAGACCAAAATGGATATGAAAATGTTCGTATTGTTGCCTCTGATCTTGACTTTGGCATAGTGGATTTTGTTAAAGCAGATACTGCCCTGGCTTCTGTTGTTGACTATATTGGGTTTGTTTTCTTCTAATGTTAGTCTACAGCCCCTTTTTTTCATTTATTAATATAGACAACTATTCAATTTCTCTACAGGACCTGTTGAGTTTTTCATACATCTATAAACTGCTAAATTTTACTGGGGTTTTAATATTTATATATTGGGATAGGGGGCACTGGTGGGGTGTGGAAGAAGTGGCTGAGGGGTGGGACTACTGGTGTAAATCTTTTTGTGCACATTTTTCTTTTGATAACATGAGCTCTCTGGTGAAATTGTAAAATTGGCACCATAGTTATTTTCTCACACTCTGCAAGTGATGTATATTGTCACTTTGTTAACCTCCAGAGCACATTACCCAGGTGTGTTGTCACCTGATGATGCCAAGGAACTTGGGATACCTCTGTGGTCATCTGAAGACTTCAGCACTTATAATGATGAAACAGGTGGCGGATGCTGGGCTAGGGTAAAAAAAATGTTTTTATGTATAAAATCATAAAATATTTTTTTTTATAAGCGAGAAACGATCTAAAGAGCTCTTCCCTCTATTTTCAGATCCTTAACCAAAATTATGTTCAAGGACTTATGACGAGGTATGAAATTAAACAAATATTTCCTAGTTTTAATTTGTTATGTGGAGACGGAGTGGTCTAGCGGTAGAGAGCTGGACTGCTAACCCGTTAGTCTCTCGAGTTCAAATCCGGGTTGAAGTCAGTAGACCGTCCCTGAGTTCACCCAACTCTGATGGGTACCTAACTCACGTTAGGGAAAGTAAAGGAGGCTGGGTATAGTGCTGACCACACTATCTCTTCACATGCAGAGGTCACAGAAACAAGTTAACTCTACTTCTCTTGCCCTATAGACCGGCAAGTTTGAAAGGGAACTTTTTACTTTTTAATTTGTTATGTAGATTCAACTAATTGTTATGAAATATTTTACATAAAATTGCTAGTTTATGTTCATCAGTCACTTCTGAAATTGCTAGTTTATGTTCATCAGTCACTTCTGTTGAGATGGTTGTACATTTTACTCAGCTTTAGCTCTAAACATAAAGCCTAATTTAAATTTTAGCTCCGTGTTAATGAATGCTGTAGATGCTGTTTTTACCTGATTAACTTTTCTATACCCTTGGTTTATAGCACCATTGCTTGGAACTTGATAGACAGTTTCTTCCAAGGCTTGCCATGGGACAGAACATCTCTCATGACTGCAAGAGAACCATGGAGTGGGAACTATATAGTCGAGAGCCCTATATGGATGTCTGGTACGGTCTTGTAATCCATAATGTCAAGTGTATTCTTTTAAATTCTCAATATTCGGAAATCACAGCATTATTATACAATGTAAAACATTTGTTGGGCAACGTGGTCTACCAGTTGAGTGCTAGACTGCTAACCCAAATGTTTCAAGTTAAAATCTGGTTTCAAGTCAGTTGAATGTCCCTGAGTCTACCCAGTTTTAATGGGTACCTAACTCATGTTACTGAAAGTAAAGGCGGCTTGGCATAGTGCTGACCACCCTATCCCAAACTTACACATTTGCTAATGTATTAATTACATTTTGGAGAATAGTTAATTTTTCTGAAATCTAGCAAAAAAATCCAATCCATAGATTAGAAATGTAACATTTTGCTACAATTTGTTCAGCTCACACAACTCAGCTGACTGAGATAGGCTGGAGTTATCTCCCCCATGGTCATGGTGTTGGGATGCTGAAATCTGGAGGGAGTTATGTGACCCTTGTTAGCCCAGATCTTAAAGACTTTACAATTGTTGTAGAAACTATGGTAGGTAGGAGATCATTTCCTTTTGTTGAGTTTTCTTGTATTGTTGGACACCTGCTGAAATTAATATTTTCAACTTTAAAAAACACTTTTTACCCTGCTTTTTTAGTGAATTAGAATCTTATTTTAAAGAAAAATCAGCTCATTTTTGTTTATTGAAGCTTATTGTTTAGATTAATTTAATATAGAAAAAAAAATTTAAAAAACATATTAAATCTAGCAAAATAAATATATTATTTGTATTATTCATTTTGTTTTTTTAAAATAAAGTATAAGATATAAATTTTTATAATTAGAAAAAAATATCTTTTCCGAAATAATACACATTTTATGCATACATTTAAGTGCACCATTTTTCAGCCATTGAAACTAAGTGAAGGAAGTAAAATAAATTTAATGAATCCACAGAGCCATGATCACTCAGTGTGTATTAGACCCCCACTGCCACATTACACTGTAGAGACCCAGGTTGTCACCTTTACATTGGCTGGCAGTTTTGTAAGTACCAGCGCATAAGACCCCTACTTACAGTTAGCTTGGAGAGGCTATAGACTGAATCTCTAACCCATTGGTTGTAACTTCCTACCAAAAAACAAACAGCATTAACCAGGGAATGTTGTAATTGTTTGTAATTTGTTTGACAGGCATCAGTCAAGTCTCTGAATGTTTGGCAAAGTCAACTCAAGTTTGGAGCCAATGAAACTTCAACATATTTTCAAAGCCTTGGGTCTGTCCCAGTAAGTACAATCTGGTCTGATAAAAATGTTGGGTCCGATATGTTGCATTCAAATTTTTTAGATTTAATGCACAAGTTCTTTTACCTTGGTTTTGTTTTAAACTGTTTTATCTGTTATAAACTGTGTGTTGCTAAGCAACTATTTTTGTGTGTTCTATTGTACGCTAAAGTTAGTATGATTGTTGCACTGTTACAGATTGTAGGTGTAGCTGTTAGCTTGATTGTTGCATTGTTAAAGATTGTAGGTGTAGCTGTTAGCTTGATTGTTGCATTGTTATAGATTGTAGGTGTAGCTGTTAGCTTGATTGTTGCATTGTTACAGATTGTAGGTGTAGCTGTTAGCTTGATTGTTGCATTGTTACAGATTGTAGGTGTAGCTGTTAGCTTGATTGTTGCATTGTTACATATTGTAGGTGTAGCTGTTAGCTTGATTGTTGCATTGTTACAGATTGTCGGTGTAGCTGTTAGCTTGATTGTTGCATTGTTACATATTGTAGGTGTAGCTGTTAGCTTGATTGTTGCATTGTTACAGATTGTAGGTGTAGCTGTTAGCTTGATTGTTGCATTGTTACAGATTGTAGGTGTAGTTGTATTCCTCTAGGTTGTTGATGGAGCTGTTAGCTTGACTGTTGGAGTGGATGAAATTTACTCCCTAACAACACTCAGCACTGGTTACCATGGCAAACACCCAGATCCCCCAGAATCTGCTCCCTTCCCTTTGCCTTTTGTTGAGGATTTTGAAAGTAATTTCATCACAGTTAAAACTTATTAAAATTAAAATTCTACAGTCTAAAAAATTTTTTAATATAGATATCTGAATTTCTCTGTGTATATATAGAAAAAGAGACCCTCGCTTTTCTTTATAGTTATTCAAATAGTGATGTATTAGTACACCATTTAAGAAAATATTTTCCTCTTTTTTTTTGTTTAATTAAATAAAAACTTGTTATTAAAACATATTTTATGAAAAAAAAAACTTTGTGTTTCTTAGTTTGACTAATTAAGATAAAGATAATACTGAATCTATCCTATATAAAACTAATTAAGTAATTGGAACCCAATCAGTTTAACACTTGACTGAATTTCCTGTGATTGTTGACTTGTCTGACAGAGTATCCACTGTCTGCGGAGCCGTATATCCTAGCACCCCAGCAGGGCTCCTTTGATGTTGTAGATGTTGGGGGGGACCACGGCAAGGTCATGCGACAGATGGTTCTACAACCCCCCATAGCCTGGTGTCAAGACACTCTACGTCTGAACTCGTCTCTGAACTTGTTTGGCAGATTCAATTGGTGAGTCCTTCATTCATCGCTTTATCTTTTAGGAAATTTTATTTTGTAGGTCTTTAATTCATCTCTTAATATATTTTGTGGTTTAAATTGGTATTTCCTTGTAAAATTAATATATTCTGTTTATTTCCAATGAGACTAGTATCTAATGTCGTAATGATCAGTAAACTTCTACAATTTTGTGGCTGGGTAACCCACCTGTTGACCAGTTGTTAACCCTTCTGTTGACCTGTTGTTAACCCATCTGTTGACCAGTTGTTAACCCTTATGTTGACTAGTTGTTAACCCATCTGTTGACCAGTTGTTAACCCATCTGTTGACCAGTTGTTAACCCATCTGTTGACCACTTGTTAACCCTTCTGTTGACCAGTTGTTAACCCATCTGTTGACCACTTGTTAACCCATCTGTTGACCACTTGTTAACCCACCTGTTGACCAGTTGTTAACCCTTCTGTTGACCACTTGTTAACCCATCTGTTGACCACTTGTTAACCCACCTGTTGACCAGTTGTTAACCCATCTGTTGACCAGTTGTTAACCCTTATGTTGACCAGTTGTTAACCCATCTGTTGACCTGTTGTTAACCCTTATGTTGACCAGTTGTTAACCCATCTGTTGCCCAGTTGTTAACCCATCTGTTGACCAGTTGTTAACCCATCTGTTGACCAGTTGTTAACCCTTCTGTTGACCAGTTGTTAACCCTTGTATTGACCACAGGACAGATGTCGAGGTAGACGTGGATATGAATGCTGGAGAAATCAATGGCACCAATGCTGTTTACCTGGGTGTTCGCATAGACAACGCTGGCTGTGGGACAGATACTGCTCTGGGAATTTTTCTCTTCATTACACCCAAGGATAATTCGTTTAAGCTAACTAATGATATCAGTAAGTTTCTAGGAATTTTCCTCTTCATTACACCCAAGGATAATTCTTTTAAGTTAACTAATGATATCAGTAAGTTTCTAGGAATTTTCCTCTTCATTACCCCCAAGGATAATTCGTTTAAGCTAACTAATGATATCAGTAAGTTTAGTTTTTTATGAATATTCTTATGATGCAATGCAAAAAACCTTAACTATAAATAGTATTTTAAATTTTTCACCATTGTCTCTTGATAGTAAATGTAGTCTTAATCTCTCATAAATATGCTTAAATAAATTTTATTATTTTTTAAAGTATTCAGCATGTTTAGCTAAGATGTAGCTGTATTTTTTTATTTTGTAGAAGGCCAGAAAATTTTACTAGAGGGCAAGAACCAATCAGCTATTCAGAGTGGATGGAATAAAGTTAGCCTTACTGTACAAGTAAGTGAATAATGTTAGCCTTACTGTACAAGTAAGTGATAATTTTTAAAATATGAACTATAAAATGCAGGCCTGTCATTACAAATTAATAAAAGTGAATAATGTATAAGCCAATCATCTGTCGTAATAAATGAATCAAACTAACAGAAATAAGTAAAGGACTTAAGAACTAACATTATTTAAAATTGTATACATTTCAATAGCTATAAACCATTGAAGTTGTTACCATGTAGTGTAGATTATTTCTCTTTGTTTCTTGTCCAGGGTCAGACAGCTGTAGCCTCAGTCAATGGAGTCAAGCTGTTTAACACACAAATCCCTTCAACTCCGGCCAATGGGTTTGTGGGGGTAGGAACAGACATCTACGGCTACGCAGACTTTGATAACATATACGTGCACAATACGACCACAAGGTCTCACAAACACCATATACAGTCGCAACCTTTGTACTTTGTCAAAGAGGAGATTCACTAATGATCTTTGTTTTGTATGTTTTTTAAAAGTACCTGTTCGATATTTAAGTAATAAAATCATCACTGGTTATTTTATTCCAAGGAAGGTAACACAGGAAACCAAGAAAGTTTAGAATTTTTAGTATTTATGTCCCCTTTTTAAGAAAAAAGTGCCCTTTAAAAAAAAAAAATTAAAATTCATTTTAAAAACAATAGTTAAGGCATAAAGTAAAGGAAAAATAACTTCAGTATTGTGCCATATATATACTTTTTTTTAACTTACTTCAGTTTATACGACATGCTATATATTTCACATGTTTATTATATGTCACTTGTCCAGATTAAAGTGTTATTTTCTGAGGTTTATGATGTGATGTTTTAAGAGAAAGTAATCAATACATTAACGGAAGGCTAATGTTTAGTTTTTTAATGTGCCCTAATATGGAGACTTTTATATGGGTTTTGTTTCGTTGACAGATTTACATTTTTTAACTGCTCAGAAGAGCATAATGTGTGAGCTTTTTCACATTCCATTTTTCTGTTCTTATAATTTTTGTCATATAAAAGGTTTCTTTTTGTAGAGGTATTTGTTCATTTTGATGTGTGTCTATAGCTGGGTATGTACAGCTGGGGAAATTTATTTTTTTAAATATTATTTTACACTGCAAATAAAAAGCTGTGAAAAAGGCATATTTTTTTTCAATTACAACATGTCAATTTGTACTGACAATTTTTAGCTTTTCAAAAGAGCTAAGCTTATGTAGTGGTGCTGGGGGAGGGGGGGGGGGGGAAGAGGAGGGGTGGGGGTTATATAGAGGAGATAGAAAGGAGTCCAAAAGGGTTGTTAATTATGGCATTTATTGTAATAAATGGGTCACAGGGAGGTAACTGAGAAAAAATTGTCTGGCATGTGTTTGATTGTTGTAATTTTGTATTGATTAGCATTTCCAGTTCTCTGAGTCGTGTGTGATTTGTCTTTTTGTGGCTGTTAAAAGGACCTAGCTGTAGGGCTACATCAGAAAAATCGACAGTAATGTTTTGATTATTTATCTAGGGCTACTTCAGCAAACTAGACAGTAATGTTTTGATTATTTATTTAGGGCTACATCTGCAAACTAGACAGTATTATTTTGATGGGTTATATAGGGTTACATCTTCAAACAAGACAGCAATGTTTTGATTATTTATCTAGGGCTACATCAGTAAACTAGACAGTAATTATTTAGATTGTTTATGTAGTGGTATGATGGTGTTAGATACATTGATGATGTTGTTAAAGAATTTACGTGTGTATGGTGGTGTTCAGTCATGTTGGTAAAGTGGGATTTGATTTTGGTGGGTTGTATTTGAGGTTCAAAATGTGGAAATCTAATTGTGTAATGACTTTCTGCTGCCTGCTTACATTTTAAAAATATTTATATATTTTATTAACACAATTTGGTTTCAATAAAAGGTTGAGCACATTATAAAACAAAAAATGTGTTCTTCTGGTTGAAAGCACAAGGCTAGTTGATTTTAGACTGCTGATTGATTGTACACTGCTGATTGATTGTACACTGCTAGTTGATTGTACACTGCTAGTTGATAAACAAAAGAAGATTTTCCATTGAAAGCTTACTAAAGTACATGCGAACATTTGTATCAGAGTTTCTTCCAGGCATCTCTTCGGGGGGGGGGGGGGGGGGCAAAGCCCCCCCCCCCCCCCCGAAACATTTTTACCACCCCCCCCCCCCCGAACGAAATGAAATTTAAATAATTTATATAGAAAATATATACTTTTAACAGTGTCCGCCCCCCCGAAGAAAGTTTACCGCCCCCCCGAAGATTTCAAGTGCCCCCCCGGAGAAAAAAGTCTGGAAGAAACACTGATTTGTATCGGCTGTGATTTTATTTGGCCAACTGCCGACATTTAGAAGTACCGCCTCTGCCTGACGACCCACGCAATATAGCTCTTCATGACGAGGGGTAAAAAAGTGAAGCACAAAAGTTTTTTTAAAAAGTGGAGGGCGTTAACGCCTCTGATTTTCTGGAGTCCAATTTATTGAATTCATTCAATCCTGAATTGGGGAAAATTCTGGGACGCGCGTCGAAAATTTCCCGCGAATTCCCTCCATTACTGAAATTTTTTAAGATGTCGTTCTTGTCGTTTTGTTGATTGCCGTTTTTTCCTGAGTTGGCATCTGTTGTCCTAAGGCAGGATCTGTCATCTGATATGGCATGGTCTGTCATCTGATCTAACATGGTCTGTCATCTGATCTAACATGGTCTGTCATCTGATATGGCATGGTCTGTCATCTGATCTAACATGGTCTGTCATCTGATCTAACATGGTCTGTCATCTGATCTAACATGGTCTGTCATCTGATATGGCATGGTCTGTCATCTGATCTAACATGGTCTGTCATCTGATCTAACATAGTCTGTCATCTGATCTAACATGGTCTGTCATCTGATCTAACATGGTCTGTCATCTGATCTAACATGGTCTGTCATCTGATCTAACATGGTCTGTCATCTGATCTAACATGGTCTGTCATCTGATCTAACATAGTCTGTCATCTGATCTAACATGGTCTGTCATCTGATCTAACATGGTCTGTCATCTGATCTAACATGGTCTGTCATCTGACACAAACCCATGCCACGTGACACAGACCAATGCTGTCTGACCTAATACAAGTCAATGTTTTTTATAATTTGACACAACTACAAGCTGTGTCTGACTAGCACAATTTATTTACAATCCAAAATGACACAATCCCGATGGATCTCCAACACAATCCCGGCCTGTGTCCGACACGATCCCGAGCTTCCAACACGATCCCGATGTGTGTCCAACACGATCCTGATGTGTGTCCGACACAATCTTGATGTATGTCCGACCCAAACCTGATGTGTGTACGACACAATCCCGACGTGTGTCCGACACAATCCCGACGTGTCTCCAACACAATCCCGACCTGTGTCCGACACAATCCCGATGTGTGTCCGACACAATCCTGAGCTGTGTCCTACACAATCCCCAGCTGTGCCCCACACTATCCTGACGTGTGTCCGACACGATCCCGATGTGTGTCCGACACAATCCTGATGTGTGTCCGACACAATCCTGATGTGTGTCCGACACAATCCCGACGTGTGTCCGACACAATCCCAATCGTTACCGAGTGTAGAGAAACTGGCTGGCCTGCAGCGTGAACAAGTGTCGGCCCAGAGCCGTCTGAAGACTGTTAATTACTCGGTATTTATGCTTCGTGACTGGAATGTGATTCCAGAAATCAGAAACTCATGACTTGCCGGCTGCTGGCGTCTGAGAACTTTTCCAAAGACAATGGAGTCTTTCAGTCACGTGATGCGGTAGGGACCAATGGCTACACGTTGGTTGGTAACTTGCTCGGTCTTGATGACATATTCACATTGGTCAATGTTAGTTGCGCATATGTGATAATCTTAGTTGCAGACGGGTCAAAACGCGCTATTCACACAGGGCAAGATTAGCTACCTACACGGGTCAAATATTGAAATAGCCTATTTACAAATAGCTAAAAAAAAATATTTTTAAACCACCCATCAAGTTTAAATTTCCATTTCATTCATTTTGTTGACTTTCAATTCACAAAAGAAAACAAAAATCAACTGCATGGACCCGCACCATTACATAAATAAAGAGTCGTTTTAGACACAACATTGATAGCACAATCGCGTGTCAACAAACCAAAAATAAAAAAAAAAGTTTCGCAAATTTAATTTCTTTTAATAATCGTAACAATTTTGTTTGCATCTATTTAATAAGTTTGTTCTTATATTATCATACATAATTGGTAAATTAATTAAATTGTTTAAATGTAAGAAAGTTCAAACGTAGTTAGCTTAAATCAATTAGTGCTGTTGAAAAGTACCGCGACAGTACGCGAACTAACGAGAAACGTTCAGAACTCAGTACTCTGTCAGCAACAGAATCTGTGTTCATTATCAACGTTTGCAAACACGCTAATCGATAGCTAACTGACCAGGCTATCAAGATAAACCAAACAGACAGGTTAAGCCGATCGGGAGTTTGCTGTTTGTAGATCATTTCGTCACGTGGGGGAGGGGTGGGGGAGGCCAGGGGGTGGTGTCTGAGAATGGTGAGGAAAGGTCAAGGACAGTCTGGGATTGTGGGTGTGAATCTGTGGGTTGTGTACCATCGTGACACATGGAGAAGTTTACCATCGTGACACTTGGAGAAGGTTACCATCGTGACGCTTGGAGTATTGTAATGACGTGACACTTTGAGATGTATATGTGTATATATGTATCTATGTCACACATGAGTTATACAATAACGACAGTTCGTTAATATATATATATATATATATATATATATATATATATATATATATATATATATATATATATATATATATATGTATATATATCTTTATAATATTAAGCTTTTAAATGCGCAGAAAATAATAGGGAGATGTTGACTGTGGGATAAAGATAAAATATGTAAGATATCTCAATAGCCACCAATGCTTTTATTAAAGAATGCAAGTTTGATTTATTTTCTTATTTTCAGTTCATTTTTATTATTTTCCACTTCAGTAATTCGTTCTATTTGAAGTTGACACTACGTAGGCTGACACAAAAATAATATTTTTTTATTTTTTTTTGCGTTAAAATCCGATGACTAGCTTGCAATATCTAAAAGACAATAGATCCGTCTATTCTAAGTCTATGGTCAACCCCCAGGCCAGAAGTCAGCCAACTGTGACCTAACAGTTCACCACCAACGGCGGTGATGGTGGGAGCCATGACACATGTATCATAGTGTTCAGCTTATCCCATCAAATTAATACTGTATGCCCTTATTATGGCGTGTTTCATATTCATGTTTTCCCATTAATGTTTCTTCTTCTTCGTTCTGTATTGTAATATTGAAGGTGATTTCCTCCAACATATCTATCACATGTCCTATTCCATCCTGCTTTTCTTTCTGGATTTGCTCATATAAGTTGCGACCACCTAAGAACAAACTACAAGGCAGCAGTTGTTTGATTTTGAAGCATTCTCTCCTAGATGGGTTGCTGTCCCTAGCTAACGAGCCTTATCTGCCCGGGGGTTCGAACTCGGGACTTTTGGAATTAGCAGTCTTAGGCTCGCCATCCACACTACGTCGTTCCCTCTATGGCGTTAAAGTAATGTCATTATTGGTGTCTTATCCCATCAGTTATGAGTGTAACGTCAATATGGTGTCATTATGGTGTCACTATCGTGTTATTATGGTGTCATTATTGCGTCACAATGGTCTCATAATGGTGTCATTATGATGTCATTATGGTGCCTTTATGGTATCCTTGTCATAATGTTCTACCAATCCTTCCAATACGGAATAACATGACACAGTTGTGCCACAATTCATTGTTTCTAAATGTTGTCCATAAAAGCCGCTAAACACTTTAAATTGTTTAAATTAATGATGCGCACACATTATTAATTATTCGGATGTTTCAATCTTTAGACCAACTACGTGGTTAAAAAAATATTTAAACTGTTAATCCTTGCGTTACACATGTGCCCGCGTTGTGTTCGATGTGAGAGGCATCGAAATTATTCACCAGGAAAATATTCTATTTTTTTTTCTGAACAAGAGCCATTTTACGACTACAGTTTTTAAACATACAAAAAAATGTTCACCAGTTTCATTTGCTGAAAGTAAAAAAAATAAGGAACCCAAAATGAATAGGAAAGCTGCATATTTGATAAGATAGGCAACTGTTTTTAAATAGATGCAGGCCGATCTAGTATAAGAAAGCCAGATATTCAATAGGCGGAATACGAAACAAATCGAAACAATATATTGTTGAACCAATGATCAACAAAATCGTTCGCTAGTTCATGATATCACTGTTATATTATTGATGTTATCGAATGAAAGTAATATCTAGCGTACAGATTACTTTTAAGACGAGAAGTTTCAAGTCGAAATTGTTGGCTAAATTAATACTTTTGATCATGAAGTCATAATAATATTCTTGATAATTGATTTTATCAATGATACTTTTTTACATCGGTTGCCCGGGGGCTATAATGTAAATGATGTTGATTGTGTGCTGAAGATAATGATAATTGTGTGTTAAGATGTTGATTGTGTGATGAAGATGTTGATTGTGTGATAAAGATCTTGATTGTTTGATGAAGATAATGTTGGTGGTGTGATAAAGATCTTGATTGTTTGATGAAGATAATGTTGATTGTTTGATGAAGATAATGTTGATGGTGTGATAAAGATCTTGATTGTTTGATGAAGATAATGTTGATTGTATGATGAAGACAATGTTGAATGTGTGATAAAGATGTTGATTGTATGATGAAGATAATGTTGATGGTGTGATAAAGATGTTGATTGTTTAATAGAGAAGTTGATGGTTTAATGGATATAACGTTGATTGTATGATGTAGATAATGTTGATTGTGTGATGGAGGTGTTGATTGTGTGATGAAGATGTTGATTGTTTGATGAAGACAATGTTTATTGTGTGATGAAGATAATTTTGATTGTGGGATGAAGACAATGTTGAATGTGTGATAAAGATGTTGATTGTATGATGAAGATAATGTTGATTTAATGATGTAGATAATGTTGATTGTATGATGAAGATGTTGATTGTGTGATGGATAACACATTGACTACAACAAGGGCTCCCAGATGCCGGGCTCCACAATAGAAATGTCAGGGCTCTCGTCCCGAAATCTCCCGATCTGGAGCAGGGAGCTCCATAGGATCACAGTTCAGCATTGATCCCTGAGTCGGCCCCAGCTCCCCCCCAACAGTTTCACGTGCCAGCCGCGCGCACTGTGAGGAGCAGATAACTCTAGCCGCCGGCCAACTCAAAGTCACAGCAGACGTTGAATTTCAAATAAAAAAATAAACATTTCTGTCACTGTATAGTTGGTGGACCAATTAAATTTACGATCAGAGTTCCAGGACTTTTCATTGTGGGTATTCGGCAGTCGGGTAAGTGTTTATTATTAAAGTAAAAATGTGTTTGCTTATAACAAATCTTTTTGTTTTAATTTTGTTTCGTTTTTACGAGTTTTCGTGGGTTTTTAAAAAATTTAACCAAGAATAATTTTTGTTGTATTTTGATATTCACCCCTTTATTTCTCCGAAAAGCTGTGTGTATATACAGAATACTAAAAAAACACTTAACCTGTTTTGAATCAACTGTTGCTTAAATCAAATCTATATTTACTTATGATTGATTATTTGTAGTAGTTAACCTAAAATATTGTATTAGCGTAAGTTTTGATCGTAACTTTTCGTTGGAGTTTCGTCATTACAAGTTTGTATTGGCTCCTATCATCATTTCATGTAAGATTATTGTAAGGACCAGTAATATATTTTATTGATGAATTAGTCAACAATCAATCAACCTAACAACTGCGTTGTTTAAGCGAAAATGAGAATTAACTATCAAGTCTTTTTATTTAAAGATTAAGCGCAGATAAAATCATTCCCAACTTACTATAGTTGTTATAACTATTGAATCTGTACAATCCCAACTTTTTTCACCAGTAATAGTTAGTCCGTAACCGTTATAGAAAATCCCACCAGTCCTAAGCAATTATAATCCGTATCATCTCCCCAATTCACAACTTTATAACTAGTAAAGTCTCAACAACCCCCACCCTAACCTTTATAAAGTAAAAGTTTCAATAGCCTCTACCCTAACTTTTATAAAAGATTCAATAGCCTCTAACCTAACCTCTATAAAAGTGTAAATAGCCTCTACCTTAACCTTTCTAAAGTAAAAGCTTTAATAGCCTCTACCCTAACCTCTAAAAATGTCAATAGCCTCTTCCCTAACCTTTATAAAAATTGTCAATAGCCTCTACCCTAACCTTTATAAAGTAAAAGTTTCAATAGCCTCTACCCTAACCTTTATAAAAAATTGTCAATAGCCTCTTCCCTAACCTTTATAAAAATTGTCAATAGCCTCTACCCTAACCTTTATAAAAATTGTCAATAGCCTCTACCCTAACCTTTATAAAAATTGTCAATAGCCTCTACCCTAACCTTTATAAAAATTGTCAATAGCCTCTACCCTAACCTTTATAAAAATTGTCAATAGCCTTTACCCTAACCTTTATAAAAATTGTCAATAGCCTTTACCCTAACCTCTATAAAAATGTCAATAGCCTCTACCCTAACCTTTATAAAGTAAAAGTTTCAATAGCCTCTACCCTAACCTCTATAAAAATTTCAATAGCCTCTACCCAAACCTCTATACAAGTTTCAATAGCCTCTACCCTAACCTCTATAAAAAATGTCAATAGACCCTAACCTAACCTTTATAAAGTAAAAGTTTCAATAGCCTCTACCCTAACCTCTATAAAAATGCCAATAGCCTCTACCCTAACCTTTATAAAATGAAAGTCACCAACAAACGCCGGAAACCAAAAGATTGTTGAGAAAGATTTCTAGATGGATGAAGTTATTTTTAGCTCCATTTCCCTGCAGACACCAGCTCACGACTGGCTGAATAATGTGAGGTAATACAGTAGATTTCACGTCTGTTAAATAATGTGAGGTAATACAGTAGATTTCACGTCTGTTAATGTGAGGTAATACAGTAGATTTCACGTCTGTTAAATAATGTGAGGTAATACAGTAGATTTCACGTCTGTTAAATAAAGTGAGGTAATACAGTAGATTTCACGTCTGTTAAATAATGTGAGGTAATACAGTAGATTTTACATCTGTTAAATAATGTGAGGTAATACAGTAGATTTCACGTCTGTTAAATAATGTGAGGTAATACAGTAGATTTCACGTCTGTTAAATAATGTGAGGTAATACAGTAGATTTCACGTCTGTTAAATAATGTGAGGTAATACAGTAGATTTTACGTCTCTTCTTCCGTTTTGTTGGGGAAACGTCAACACATTCATTTCAGTAACTTTACCACCTTCGTTTGATTCTGGTAACTGGAATACCCGCACACATTAGGGCTGGGGAGGGAATGACGGCAGTTCTACCACCTACGTTTGATTCTGGTAACTGCAATACCCGCGTACATTAGGGGTGGGGGAGGGAGTAACAGCAGTTTTACCGCCAACGTTTTTAGTCCCTTAGATCTGATTTGGATCACTTTAACAATGACGTGTTAAACACCAGTTCAATTCCTTAAAATTAAGTTTACTTGATACTGGTAGACTTGTTACGAACTAAGTTTACTGTTCATAAACCAAGATAGCTAGAAGCTATCGAAAAGTGCAAAAAATTATTGACCATCTATCTTGACCGTACAAGAAAAAATATTAAAAAATTCCTGACCATCTATTAACTAAATTTACTAGTTATAAACCAAGATTGCTAGATGCTGGAGAAAGGTGCAAGAAATTCCTGTCCATTTATATCTTGACCGTGCAAGAAAAGTGCAAGAAATTCGTGACCTTCTCAACCTTGACCTTGCAAGAAATGTCTGACCATCGATCTTGACCGTATTAGAAAAATGTAAGAAATTCCTGACCATCATATCTTGAGCGTACGAGAAATTCATGACCATCTATATCTTGACCTTGCAAGAAAAGTGCAAGAAATTCATGACCATCTATATCTTGACCGTGCAAGAAAAGGAAATTCACGACCATCTATATCTTGACCGTGCAAGAAAAGTGCAAGAAATTCATGACCAACTATATCTTGACTGTGCAAGAAAAGTGCAAGAAATTCAAGACCATCTATATCTTGACCGTGCAAGAAAAGTGCAAGAAATTCATGACCATCTATATCTTGACAGTGCAAGAAAAGTGCAAGAAATTCCTGACCAACTATATCCTGACCGTGCAAGAAATTCCTGACCACCTATCCTGACCGTACAAGAAAAGTGCAAGAAATTCCTGACCACCTATCCTGACCGTGCAAGAAAAGTGCAAGAAATTCATGACTAACTATATCTTGAGCGTGCAAGAAAAGTGCAAGAAATTCTTGACCAACTATATCTTGAGCGTGCAAGAAAAGTGCAAGAAATTCATGACCATCGATCTTGACAGTGCAAGAAAAGTGCAAGAAATTCCTGACCATAGATCTTAACCGTGCAAGAAAAGTGCAAGAAATTCCTGACCATCGATCTTGACCGTGCAAGAAAAGTGCAAGAAATTCCTGACCATCGATCTTGACCGTGCAAGAAAAGTGCAAGAAATTCCTGACCAACTATATCCTGACCGTGCAAGAAATTCCTGACCACCTATCCTGACCGTACATGAAAAGTGCAAGAAATTCCTGACCACCTATCCTGACCGTGCAAGAAAAGTGCAAGAAATTCATGACTAACTATATCTTAAGCGTGCAAGAAAAGTGCAAGAAATTCATGACCATCGATCTTGACAGTGCAAGAAAAGTGCAAGAAATTCCTGACCATCGATCTTGACCGTGCAAGAAAAGTGCAAGAAATTCCTGACCAACTATATCTTGAGCGTGCAAGAAAAGTGCAAGAAATTCCTGACCATCGATCTTGACAGTGCAAGAAAAGTGCAAGAAATTCCTGACCAACTATATCTTGACCGTGCAAGAAAAGTGCAAGAAATTCCTGACCATCGATCTTGACCGTAGGCGCTACCCGCGGTGTGCTATCACGCAACCCGTGACGTCACGACGCTCTCATTTAAATTATGCAAATGAAGGTCACATGCTGATACACACAATTATAAATCATATTTTGTGACTGGGGTCTGTTGTGTGAAGCACTGGAGCTACACGGTCTGTAGTTGTGTGAATAGACGGATTTTTTTACTTGGATTTTTAGCTCCTTGAATAATACTAGTTACACCATTGGTTATAAATTTGTGTGAATAGCCTGCTTTAACATACTTTTGACGGTTGTGTGAACTGACTACATTATTGTTTTTATAATTGTGTGAATAGCCTGTTTAACTTACTTTGGACGGTTGAATGAATGGACTAGTTTACCCTTTTTATAATTTTGTGAATAACTCGAGTCACACTATGAATAGCCTGTTATATTTACTTTTAATAATTTTGCGAAATCTTGATTCAACCTATTTGTATTTTAGTAATGTAAATATCTTAGCTTATCTGTTTTATCTACCCTAGACCATTTGAAGTTTGAAGTCCGTCTCTTCGTTTGAAATGTTTTGAAATACGACCCCACTTAATTCCTCCGTGTTTTGTTTTTCTTAACCTCAGATCGTCTTCCAATTTTCCCATAATTCCTTCTTCAGTTTTCGCTTGGAGTATGCCTTAAACACATAGAAATGGCGGACAAATTTCTTCTCTTAATTGATTTTGTTGGGAACGGAGTCAGCAGGCTAATCAATGTTTGCACTTAATTTATTAGCACAATGAGCTCAAATGATTTCGCTGCCGTCTTTGAAATGTTAAACTCGTTATTGGGACATGAGAGGAGGACAGCGGCAGAAGTTTGATCAAAGAAAGTTTCTCTTTAGCTATTGCGTTTGTGCAAAATAGAGACAGGCAAACAACAGCGAATCAAATAACACGACGGATTTTGATCAGCCAATCAGCGTGGTGTTTACATATTTAAAGATTGATAGCATTGAAGCGAGTTGTATGACAATAAACATAGTACAGCTACAAGAATTACGTTTGAAACTAGAATTTACGTTGTAACAACGGACGCCATTTTTACTTTCTCGTATATACGTAGTATAGAGAAAGTATTGTAATCGTGCAAAAAAAAAAAAAATCGAGATTTTTACAAATCTCGACGTTTTACACCTCACTGATACGGAAAAACATAATTTTGCAATCTTGTCCGTGTGTCTGTGTGTGTGTGTGTCTGTGTGTGTGTCTGTCCGTGTGTAAACACGATAACTTGAGTACCGTTACAGCTAGGTTGATGAAATTTCATATATAAGTATTTTATCAAAATCGTAGATCTGTATCAACTTTTGAGCGATTTCCGATAACCGGAAGTGGTACTTTTCCTACTTTGAATTTTTTAAAAGCCTATAACTTGAGTACTATTTCAG